TATTTTTTTTTATTTAAATCCTTCTATCATAGGTAAGATTTATTATTTAGGATATGTGAATTATTTAATTGATGTCAGATTAGAAAGAGGAACAGGCAAGCTGAGTTTTAATTCCAGACTACTTTATGGTATTGCCTTTTGCACAACTCTATTTGAGAAAGGCATGAATCCATCTATTCTGTCTTTATCAATTAGTTAAATGGCAGAGCAAACTGGGTTCTCTTATCTTGGATGACAAGCAAAGAGAAGGATAATTCCCTTGGTTGGGGGAGAAGCAACATTTTTTTTTTTCATTTAAAAAAATCCTCCATTTCAATGCAAATTATCCCAAATGAAAATTGTTTAGAATCTAGTTAATTCTAAATGAAAAATTGAATTTAGATTTTATTTTTAATGTATGAAATATTCAATTGAATATATTTTCTTCTATATTATACAACATTTTGTATATTAAATTTAATAATTAAAAAAAATCATAAAATTTGATGCTCAAAAAAAAAAAAAAGTGATGTAGAAATGAAAAGTGTATTCTTCTCTCTAATCTTTCTTAAAAGTCAAAACTTTTTGTCTTAAGTCTGTTGCATTATTTTCAGCCAAAAAAGTAGGAGGTTTTATAAGCAATTTATTCTTCTCTTGAAAAGTATTCACACCACCATGAAAATGTTTAAAAAGAAGTAATTCATCTGCTACTTATTAGTTAGTGATTTGGAAAACTGTGAAACAATATACATTGCTTTCCATTGTTAAGAGATGTTTATGCTTTGTATTCAAGAAATGAAACTAGAAAGAGAAATCTGAAGATATCCAAATTAGGATTTCGTAATGTATATCAAATATTATAATTTTACAGTGTATTAAACTCATCCTGTAAAGAGCTTAGTTTTGCTTTCATAATTTAAGAAAATCTCTGTAGTTATTTTTAGTTTTAAGTTTCTTTTACAAAAGATAAATTTCAAATATATTTTCTGTTTAATATTTGCTTTTATTTGATTATTATAATTTACCATTTGATTCTTTTCACTGTATTTGAATTCTTTATTCACTGTCCTGATTGTTAGTTTCTTTTCAAATAATATTTTTGGAAAAAAAGCTTAAAAGTGGAAAAAATACTTATTGTAAATTCTCATCTTATTTTATCAAAATACATGCTACATCACTTGAACCAATGATTTCCTGGAATTGAAATTATACTGAATGAAATTTTTATTTTATTTAAAAATTAAGGAGGTATATATACATACACACATGCAGAGAATCTAATGATAATATTAGCTGTATCCTTATAAGGAAACATTTGAAATTCAATGGTCAAGTAGCTAGGGCTACTTTCAATTGAAATTTCTAAAAATTTTCTATGAAACTAATTTATCAGGAAAATAGGTTTTGCAACTGTGGTAAGTGTTACTGCTCTTTTCAGCTTATGGGTGCTTTCTTCTTAATCTTTAGTTGGAAGTCATGCATAATGTGGCAAATATATTATAGATGCCGAAGTATTCTGTTTGTTTTTTTATTCATCATAATGGACAAATGCTTCTTCATTTATGAATTTCTAGTCACTATTAACTGTGGTCATCTTCAATATATTCCCCTTGTGAAGCTATACACTTCATGAGATGATGGCACCATTGCTGGAAACACTCTTGGAACTCATTTTCTGGAATAACTTGATGTAATTTTTTTTCTACAGTAATTTCCATCTTGTACAAATCCTAAGAGCCACTTGATTTAGAAGTTGACAGAGTAAAAGGTAAGAGTCACAGCTTAGAAGATGTACGCTAACCTTAAAATTGAAGATGTTAAGATTGTAGTAATTGGGAAAGCATCTTCTTGTGTGTTGGTTCCACAAAGTAGAGAAAAGTGAAGACTGGGAAGATGCTGGATACCAAGGTTGTCACTGACTGTTTATTATTTCAAGTCAATTTTCAATTTTGGAATTAGCCAAAAATTCCGAGTGGTTGGGTTTTAATTCAAGTTAACAAAGTGGCAAGTCCATTTTTGTAATAGATTTCTTAACCAGAAGCTCACAAACTCCTAATGTATCATTTTTTTCCTTCCCATATCCTGTTTTTCATATTCAGTTCTCAGTAAAATATTTATCTTCAATCTGAGCATACCAAGGTTTGCACTCTGTCCATATTCACATCTGTCTGTTGTGTTTTTAGTTGCCTATTTCTTGTGTCTTTGTGTACATTGTATTCTCCTTTGAACCTCCTGGGTCACTCAATACAGTTAGGTTTTTCATAACATATTTACTAATGAACCATTTTTAATAATGCTAAAATTCTACTAGAACTTTTACCAATCTTCACTAAAAATTTAATGTTAGTTCAGAGCTCTAGATTCTTTGCACTCATTTTCAGCCAACAGAATAACATGAACACATAAAACTTCCTCTATTGACTCATCTGGTATACATCTTTCAAGAAAGCCAAAGTTATAACAAATCTGGACAGGCTTGGTTACAAATATTTGCCTGATTTTCTATGCCAGCAACAGGAATTCATTTTCCCACCTCATACTTTCATCCAATAAACTTTATTGAATATTACTTTAATAATATATCTCAATATTTCATATATTGATCAAAGGAAATGAAAATTCATTAAAATGTCTTGCATAACTCTTGCAATATATCAGTCATCCAAAACTGTAATACCAGAAATGAATACAAAACAATTTATGTTAATTAAATAATGATTTTAACTATTAACATACCTAAAATTATATAACTTAATATATATCAAAATTTCCGCCAGTAAAGTGCTCAATAATTGACGAGAGCATTATTATTGAATATGTTTAAATATTTATCAATGCTTTTGTTATATTAATGTTTGACTACAGTCATGTTCACTTAGAAGTATTTGGCTTGAACAGATATAATTATATAAAGTATTTTCATATATTTACCAGTGATTTATTATTAATAACTATTTATTAGAAAGAGAGGAGACTCTCAAACTATGTGTCATGCCCATTCAGAATATCAGTGATAATGACTCTTAACAACTTTGTATCCCTTATGACTGTTTCTCTCTTTGCTATAGCTACCCACCTTCTGCCATTCATTCACACAAGCCTGTCAGATAAGTGGCTCACTACAATTTTCTACTTCACTTTCCTATGCCCTGTGATGATAGTTTTTCCAAGCCCTCTTTTCTCATGTGTCTAAAGTGCTATCTTTTCCTGATTCTGATTAGAAGTGTTCTTTCTGCTGCTCTTTAAGGCTTCATTGTTGCTTATTCTCTCTGCCCATGGAATTTTTCATTTTCCTAATGGAGAACCACATTTCTACTGTTCCTAGTTTTCTTGTCATCCATGGGGAGATGGTTCAGCATTCATTAGCATATAAGAGGATGGACAGCACATAGCAATCGGGCACTCTTTTCTTTGTTTCTAACAAATTATTTTCTGTTTCTCTGTACCTTGATTAGCTTTTAGAATGGGTCTGTAATAGGAGAAAGATTTATTCTCTAATTTATTTCCCCTGTTATGAGCATCATTATATCCATGATAACACTACTTCACAGATGAATTGGAATGTCTAGAAGGAAAAGGAATAACAAACATGCTTTGTTATTAAAGACACTTTAAACTACTAAGACATACACTAAACTATATTTACATATATAGAAGTATCCCACACGGAGAATAATACATCTACACAGCAAAGCAGAGTGTAAGAAGACACAAAAAAAAGAATCTTGTATATAATAGGGAGATACACCTATCTGGAGAAGCCATTTTCAGGACTCCAAATTCAAAGGGGCCAAATTCATCTATGTCTGAGGCAAGGACATATTCCACAAATGAAAAACAGTGAGTCTTCTGTTTTCCCAAATTTAGGACTGCAAGCTGGAGTCTTTTCTATATCTGGGTACCATGGACTTGTAAGCTATTGGGGAGGCAGATTTAGCCTCTGCTTGTGCCATGTGGGGCCTGGTCTAAACGAAGCAACTTCATGGTTTTGCTACTGTAAGCAAACTGAAATTGACTGCCACCTTCATCACTGTATGGAGAGGCATCACTAAACAGCCCTCACATGACCCACACGAATTATCTCCACCTGTATTCTTGCATTTCTTTCAGTGATGATTTATCTTCCAAAATTGTGATGTAAATATATTTACACTATATTTTTACTTTTAAAATTTTCCTATTTCACTATTTTTTTTCAACTTTCCATTGACTCTCAGGATCATACTTTTGATAATTTTTATTTTGACCATTGGGTTGGCAACCACTGATTTCAATGACCCACATCACCAAATTAATTCCATTCAGCAGGCATACCTCTGAGACTTAACAAAATGAAATTGCCATTCCAAGTTTGCATTCTTCTTGTAAATTAATTTGTCTTCCATTTATTGCCTTTCAGTCATTATGGCTGTCTGGACTCTTGCTAGAACTTGTCTATCAAAGTGAAAAAAATTAAACCATAGCGTTTTTAATTAAGATATTGATTTATTTACCACTATTCAATTTTTCTATATAATAGAATCTAGTTCCTGACATTAAACACAGAAATGTTTTTTTGTTCTTTGATAATGTTCTGCCTTTGTTGTGAAATGGGCAGTTTTCTTATTATTTGCATTTTACATAAGTGGGTGTAATTTTAAACAAAGCAGTTAATGCCTGACAAGGTCAGCTCTGAAAGACAATTACAATAGTTATTCCACAAACATGTTGAAATTTTTCAAAATGTCTCAATATGCTCAAATTTGAATATTAATTGCTTATTATATTAGAATTATAACTAAGGGATAACACATTTCTAAAAGTATTGATTAGGTTCCTCAATGTCTGTCATCAAACACCTTTAAACATCCATTTGTACTGTGGGATATTTTCACACCATTTGTACTGCAGGATATTTTGCCAAGGGGAATTAACTCAACACTTACACCATTTGTACTGTCCATCTCCACAATCCATTTTCCTTAGTGGCAGTTCTTTCTTTAACCATTTAATCAAACTTGTTGAGGCTTACAGCTGAATCACACTGAAACACTGGTTCTCATACAATCACTAAAGTTAAGCAATGTCAAGCCTGGTTAGTACCTAGATGGGTGACAGCTTGGGAATACCAGGTGCTGTAAGTTTAGATGTGTGGGTGTTGAAATGAATTGTAAATTGGAGTGCTGAGTTTCAATTTCTGTCAGGTTCATTATATTCAGTTACATGCCAATACCCTTGGGAAAGATATGAATCCATCTCCTCTTCTTCCAGCTATGGGTTAATTATTAAGACTTGTATCAGTAAATCATTATCAGCAAAAGATTATTAAAATCTAAAAAAATATTATCTGGAGTTAAGTCATCTGCAAAGGTTTGCTAAGCCATAAAAAACAAATCAATCAAACATGTTAAGTAAGTAATCTAATATTTTCCTCTACATACATCACTTGCCATTGATATACCCTGGAAGTGTTAAGTTCTCTAAACGTTCCTTCTTCCTACAAATGTGTCCCTAATATTATAGCTGTCTTTCTCATTGTTAGGAACAGTCTCTTTGTATCTAGTATTCTCCTTAAAATTTACTCCTGTTATTGAAATGGTATATGTACATTATAAGTGCCAACAATCTTTCCATTGCCAGCATACAAACTTTCACTTTAGGCAAACAATGTCACTGAGTGTACTGGAAGATCATTCACAAAGTTTCAGACATTGGCACACAACCAAAACATGTAAAGGGAGCTGGTCAGGTGCTTAGCTGCACAGTGACCCTATGACCACACCTAGTCATGGGACTGATGAAGATGTCTATAATATCCTCAGCATTTGTCAGTAAAATCATGTCTTGTTCACTTCAAGTATTTACTTTACAAAGCACAACAGACAATGAAAGAATAAAAAATTCTTTCTGTTACTATCAAAATTACAGTGTTAATATTCCTAGAAGTATTCACTGTAGAATTTTATCACTCTTCTGGGGAGGATGTAATTGTTAGGGGGATAATTTAGCTGTTGGTCTGCTTTAATATTTAATGTAAATTTATATGGTGATTGATTAGGTTTACATTTGATCCAGTCACAGTAGTCAAACAAATATCAGTAACTTAGCACAAATCAGTAGATTTGTGTTTTGCTTGTCTTTTTTATTTTTTATCTTTTATTTCTCCTGATTTCTCTTTCACTTTGCAAACTGATTTTAAAAATCTCTACACTGAATCTGTATTCAGACAGATTTATTCCATGCAACAATAACTTTCACAAATATAAATTTAGCTGCCTCATCATGGAACAATGGCTAGCAAGTTAGTCCCACAAGTCATAATAACTGTAGTAAGTTTAATTCACAATAGGAATTTTCTTGAAGGAAAGTAAGAAGAAAGGACAAAACATCAATTGCAAGAAGATTGAATGCATGGCAGTGATGCAAATTACAATTTGGAAATACCAAAATTAAATAAGTACAATTTAAATATTTGAGAAGTGTTTTAACAGAGGCCAGAAAGTGTGATATTGAAATCTGAAGGCATATTAGGATAGCAATGGAAGAAAACAATGCACAACCTATGTAGTGAAGTTGAGAAAACGGATAGCAGAACAAGGTTTAAGAAAGATAATAAAAAGATAAATTTATTAAGAACTACAAAAACCAAGAAATTGTGGAGAGCCATGATTGCCAATGACCTGAAAGGACATGGCACATAAAAGTGGCAGCCTCTCAATTTGCTTCCTTTTAACCTGCAGGTGATTTTGACTAAATTGAACTTGCTAACTACCGATTACTTTCCACTAATGACTTTACATCTTCAAATTCCAATGAACATTTCAGTCTAAGTTCATCTTCTAAAGATATTCTTACAGAAAGATACTTTGCAAACCAATTTCACACTTGTCGATCAGTTATGACTTCTTCATCATAAACACTATATATTTTTGTAGATGTCTCTATATTATTATGCTCTTGCTTGAATTCCAGTATGTAATGTAAATGCATTTTCAGTACCTTCATTAGTGAGGTTAAGAAATTTATTCTTTGATTCACTGTGTACACTACTGTGGCAGTGCCAAAACTGAGGTATGTAACTGTAGCATAAATTTATCTTTAACTACCACATATGATTAGTACTATGGATGATAGATTCATCATTTAGCACCAGTAAAAACTCCTACCAAAAATAAAATAATCTGAACATGTAATAGAAAAAAAAAGCATAAAGTGTAAATTTTCAACCAATCACTGTTGGTATGAGTAAGTTCAGATATCTCCATGTTTGTATATTTTAAAAGCAAAACAGTTCTCCTATATAAAACTTTGAAATAGGCTGTAGTCACTCAGCTAAAACTGTCTGTTCATCTCGACAAATCTGCTCAAAAGGACCCCCTTTAAATGAAGTGATCAAAAGATATACAAGAAACTCAGACTTCAAGCCATATTTTCTAAGAAATTATTCTTATCTTTCCTTTGTTCTTGTAAAATTTGAGTAATGGACTCTTTACTTAATTGAACATTGTCTATATCTGATATATTTCCACTTCTACATACATTTCAAGTGAGAATTAAAATTTGATGAAAAATTTATGAATAATTTCTCTTGGATTCTTCTGACATCATACATTATTTTATTTAATTTATCTGAAAGGAATTTTATACAATTCTTTATAGTTTCATTCAGATTTATTTTTTTTTTATTTAACATTCCAAAAGTTTAGAGTTTGGTCAAGCTGAGAAAAAAATTCTCTTACTATGAGATACTTAAAAATAATTGAAGATCAACAATTTGAATTAATTCAATGTTTTGCATTCATGGTGTTCTTTCTAACAACTTTAGTGAAATGGACTCAAAATACAAATCTCAAATTATATTCTCACAGGTGTATTATCATAGATTATAGATTAAAACGGACAATGTATTTGTAACAAAAGTTTGTTTATAATTGGCTCTTTTATAGAATACTTTTTTCTATAAATACCTCACCTCTTAAAAAAAAAAAGGTTGGAATATTAAGAAAGCAATGAATGTTAATTTAAGAAAATCTCTTGGAAATAATGAAAGTCATAAGAGAAGTAAATATTTTTGACCTCCAACAATATAGTTTCAGATAAAAGAAATAAGATAAGGCAAAGAACAAAATGTTCCATTTTATCACTTCAACATGGTTCTTGTCAAGAATAGCATATTGCATTTAAGCTTATTCCACATGAAATCTAATTTAATATCAAGACAAGCAAAATATTTTCTGAAAAATATCAAAAATAAAAGTGAAGAAAATGTATGATAATAGAGACCTTACAAAATTCATTCTGTTTAAAGTATTTTTCAGGTCGGTGTTATCAGCTTTTGACATTGTTAATCAAAAATAGGTTTTTGATTAAATTTTAAAAAAATTTATTTTCGTTTTTCATTTTGGAATGTGAATAAGAAATGATTTTCTATATAGTTTATTTGGATTTTTTTCTTTGGTTACCGCATATATAATTTTTGGACAGATATTTTAAGTTGTGAGCTTATTAAATATCGGAAGATAAGTTAGTTGGAACTAGTTCTTATCTCTGACTTAAACTGATGTAACTTGCTCATATCAAGAGGCTTCTATCAAAATGGCCCAAAGTTATAGTCTCAATATGGCATGGAACAGATGAAGAATATGCAGAAATTCTGCACAGAATTAATAATTCAACATCAGAAGATAAGTAAAAGAATATGGAAATAACACTTTCTTGAAGATATGTTATTGCTTTGTATCCATTTTGTTTTTATTGTACTTAGTGACATTGATTTAATCATATGAACCAGTCTATTTAGGTTACCTTGTTATAAACTGTAAACTATTTTTGTTTTGAGTGGAAAGTAAATGACTGAAGAATATTTCCTATAAAAGAGTGGAAAATATTGTTTTAATTAGATAACTAAGATAATTATATTATATTAAAAAAAAGTGTAATGAAATTTTCTTGTATAGTGCCATCAAAATCACATGATTAAAAATAACCAAGCCACTAAAAACATTCAAATACTTTTTACTAACTAGTAATACCCATGTATATTTTGTGGTTCTTGTATTTGAATTTTTTGATGAATCATAATTCTTAATTAAATGATTGAATAAGCTAATTGTGAATTCTACAAGTACAAAATAACTATGAAAACTCCCTTATTATTGCATCATTAAATATCGGAGGTTAACAAATTTAAGAGAATATTACAATAACAATTATAAATAGGAATGGAGATCATTATTTAAAGAAGTAAGGGGGAACAAATAGAAAAATTTACAAGGTTTTCTTTTTCTTAATAGTCCAATATTTATCTGAGGTAATGGCAGGGTGTAACACAACATAACTTAACAACTAATGGAGTAACAAGTAGACTTAAGATGTTTTTGTTAATATAATGGACAATTCAGAATTTACATTAGCATATCTCTTATATTAAGTTCATCGTCAATATTTGCATTGCATAACATAGAGATAGAGTGCCAAGATTTGCTGAAAAAGTATTAGATAAAAAATTACAAAATTCAACAGTTAAACTATCAAATTTCAATTCTGAATGTTAATGTTACTATGGCGATATTATTGATTCATTTTGCCTATTGTTTGAGTTTGAGACATTTTGTTGGCACTGATAGCAGAATAAACAAGACTACAATTGATAGCAATATAACAAACTAACCTATTCTCTTGAAAATGATGTATGAAAACACACACACACACATATATATATATATATATATATATATAAATATATATATATATATATTTTGACATGAGAGAGTACAGCAACTCGGTTCTTAGAACAGAACAACCAGACTATTATTAGTGATGTAGGCTTGTGGAGAATTGGTGACAGTTTTTAGCTGATTGCAAAGAATTAATGTACACCATGTGTCACAAGCTCCCCAAATGACCTACCCAGATTGTGAATTCAAAGTTGTCCTTCTCCTAGACCAGTTGCAACCCAAGGCTTTAGGACCCAGTCTGCCTTACTTTTTACCCACAGCTGGTAGGAGAAGAGATGGATTCATACCTTCCTCAAGGATATTGCGTATACACACACACACACACATACATATATATATATATACCAATGGAAAAACATAACACATTATAGAAAACTTGGTTATAAATTATAATTTGATTCAAC